AGAGCCGTTGTTATTTTAGTAGCATGCAGCTACTTCTTCGGTTYGTTGSGAGGCMGTCTAATGCAAATTGCGTTTTGCCTCACTAGTGGAGGCGCAGAAACGAARTTAAACCGCTCCATTTGATGGACAWGATCGTCGGTTCTGTCCTTTCTTTCTACTGGTGGCGTAACTGGTGGAGTCTTCGGATGTTCTGTATTCTGCTTGTCCATCTTTTACTGCRTTTATGAACATATGAAGAAACTAGTGCCTATTTATATTCACCGGTAGGATCGAAATAAACCAATGATTGCTTCCAATCAGTTCACTGCACCAATCAAATTCYTCACTTTATTTGGCCTTTGGCCTTTTGTCTTTGCTCTTATTGGCTGATAATGTCAAGACTCATTGACTTTTGTGCGAACCTCGTAGGAAACATGTACGTCTATGTCTTCAATCCGACAGAGCKTTTAAAACTGTCAACAGCTCAAAGCAGTCTTCACTTTAACAAAATGAACGCATTGAAAAGAACACGTCCTGAAGTTKGTTTCTACAAATCTCTTGAAGATGAATTCTGTTCTAAACTTCCAAGGCGCTCTGCATACCGATCAGTCCTTGGACTCTACGAAGTTGAAAGTATTGTGGCGAAGAGATTCGTAAACAGTGGCAATACAGAATACTACGTGAAATGGATCGGATATCCTGATGCGCAGAATACCTGGGAGCCAAGCAAACATATCCCTTCCTGTTTGAAAGAAGACTTCGAGAAGAATGAAGACGTCCATCCAGCTCAAATAGAAGACGCGAGAATTCAGCTTGCAGACATAATTGAACGAGCTCTTAAAGTGCCATTGCAGACAACAGAATCACTAGTTGTACGCCACAAAGTCATCCGAGCGTTATTTCCACATATGCCTAGCGACCTACGACGATCTGGCTGCAGCGTGTCGAAGGAAGAGTTCGTCCAAGCAGGACTCGAGTCGTATCTATGTGGTCAAGTTACTTTAGGGGGAGCTATTGAAAAGTGGACTTTCCTGTCACTCTTAAGCTGAAGCTTCGCCCCTCTCCACAGTTCTTCAACAAACAAAGACGACTAACAGAAGTTCTGTTAGTCAAATTCTTCAAATCATACCACTAAGCTTTTGTAAAGCAACACTAATAAAACAGCTCTTTTAGGAGCTACCACAAATAAAGAAGTCAATGATTCATTACAATGCTTAAATCAGTCAATGATATGTCTCTGATAATTCTTCTAATTATTGGATATTGATTGAACTACGGTAGTCGATTTAAGTTTAGTTTTCGTATGAAGATGCTATGTATAACTGTTACACGGTCAATTTCCCACCTTTCTAATGACAATGATCTTTCGTCAAAGTTAAGGTCGCCCGGTTAGTTGTCAAGTATAAAAGCAATCAATAATGACTAATGCTTAAATGTTTTATTTCTGTTAATTGATAAAAATACAAAATGATCTCTACTGT